AATCTTGTGTTTTCTTAATAGATACTAGAAACCGTTGTTGTTGTTGTTGTTGTTGTTGTTTGGGAAAACAGTGGTCCACAACAATTTAAAAATTATCACTAAGGTAACACAATATTAGGGAAGACAATGAGGCAGAGTTAACTGGTTTTTCAGAGGTTACAAGTGACCTTCACACAGCAGGACAATCAACGTCAGAGCTTCAGTCAGGTATCCTACAATGTCTTTTGGTAGAAATCACATGCATAAGAGCAATTTCATATTGCAGAATGTCATCTTTTTTTTTACTAGAGCTACAAAAGTAAGAAACCCTGAGTGTATTCCAAGTGTTGTGCAGCTCTCAACAGTTCCATGAGTTGGAAATATTATTGTCCCAGTTGTACAGATGACAAAATTGAGGAAAAGAGATGTTATTAATTCATCCAAGATGATACAATTACTGAGCAGCTGAGGTAGGATTTGAGGCCAGATATTGTTGCCCCAGAGATGATTCTTGCTTGATGCATTACGTTGTGTCAGTTTCCATCATATCAGAATCTGAACTGCTACCTTGGGAGCAAGGCAAGATAGCACAAGGCAACACACAACAACCAGTGTGTGTGTTGTGTAGGAATGGAGTAGCCCTGATCTGCTCTTCGCGCTGTGGACAGCAACAGCCATCCCAAGGAAGGGGCTCCTTGGCTAATTCACAGTAAGCATTCATGTAGGCGAGCATCATCCCTGGGCACCCTTTCATGTCCTTTTCTGCCTTTCCAGACACGACCAGGCCCAGGTCTGCCTTGCCAGGACTCCGTATTCCAGGAATCTACCTCTCCAGAAGTAGGAAGAAAAAAATGACCACATTCAAGGTGCATATGGCTTGCCTTTCTTGCTGTTAAAATTCCATTTCACTACTCAGAATGTTACGTATTGGGGCGCCTGGCTGGCTCAGTTGGTTGAGCGTCTGACTCTTGATTTCGGCTCAGGTCATGGTCTCAGGGTCCTGAGATCGAGCCCTGCCTTGGCTCTGTGCTCAGCCAGGGGCCTCCTTGGGATTCTCTCTTTCCCTCTCTGCCCCTCCCTACAGCTCTCTCTCTCTCTCAAAAAAAAAGTTACATATTTTTTTCATTTCTTGGGGTGACTCAAGGAGAACACCAAGCTAAATGACCTGTTTACTCTGTATTTGCTTTTAGCAATAATTTTGTCATTATTCATTTTATTTCAAAAATAAACGTGTGTGCTGATGAGCACTGGGTGTTATATGCACCTAATGAATCGTTGAACACTGCATCAAAAACTAATGATGTATTATATGTTGGCTAATTGAACATAATAAAAAATACATATATATTAAAAAAAATTAATGTGGACCAATTACTAGGAATGACCAGTTCTGCTTGCTTCACCAGTGACACATTAACTATTTTTATTTTCTCATACTTTCTTATGTATATTCATAGATTTATTAATATTCATGATATACATCTAATATTGACTTGTGCTTCTTGGTTTAACATAGAACATTCGTTATTTGTGGTTACATCATATTTCTATTAAATTGATATGATTTTTTAAAAGATTTTATTTATTTATTTGACAGAGAGAGAGAGAGAGACGCACAGCGAGAGAGGGAACACAAGCAGGGGGAGGGTCAGAGGGAGAAGCAGGCTTCCCACCGAGCAGGGAGCCCGATGCGGGGCTGGATCCCAGGACCCTGGGATCATGACCTGAGCTGAGGGCAGACGCTTTAACGACTGAGCCACCCAGGCGCCCCTAAATTGATATGATTTTTAATTTTTAACTGCCTACTGCTCCTACACATTAAGGTGGCTTAGGAGTTTGATTGTTTGAAGCAACACTGCAGTGATCGTTTTCCTACCTGCAGTTTTTTTCTGCAAAAAATCACTTCTCCGAATAAGCTACCTATTTTTTCTCCTCAATGTATTAGGAGCTCCATAATGAAAAAGTACATTTGATACATGCCACGTTAGAGTTTTGTAGATAAGATATTCAAATACGCCACAGCGCAATAGGCTCTAACTGCTGCCTTATGCGAATCTCGTTGGAGATTTTCACACAGGAAGAGCTAGATTCTGTCTTACGTCTGAGTCATCCCCTGCATGTCACTTACTGATCTGCTTTTATTCTGTCATGTATTAGTTTTTTCAAAGTAATGTATAATCTTAGGTTTGTGTATATGTGTATATACATAGACTTTATTTTTTAGGGCAGTTTAACATTCACAGTAAAATCCAGAAAGTACAGAGATTTCCTACCCTGCCCCCAAACACCCACAGACTCTCCCATTGTCAACATCCGCCACCAGAGTAGTACACTTGTTACAATCGATGAACCTCCATCAGCACATCATTATCACCCAGAGTCCATAGATTACTTTAGGATTCACTCTTGATGTTGTTCTTTCTGTCGGTTTGGACAAATTTGTAATGATGTGGCCCCACCATTATAGTATCCTACATAGTAGTTTCACTGCCCTAAAAGTCCTCTGTGTTTCACCTATTTATCCTTCCCTTCCCTTAACCCTTGCCAACTACTGATCTTTTCTC